GTGACCTTGGCCGCGGGCATGGACCCCCGCTGGGCCCGCTCCCACCGCCGCCCCGGGGCTCTTCTCCTCGACCCAGCCTCGTCTTACCCGCGATCCATTAGTGGAGGGTGGTTTTTGACCTCTGGTTACTCCCTCTGTTGAAGATGAGAGGCTTCCGTGGGAAATCTCCCTCTGCCTTGAGCTCCGCGGCCAGCGGGACGCTCCTGCCCTGAATGAATGGGTCCCGGGTAGGCATAACCGGGTCCTTCAGTGCCACGACCTTGCCCGCCTTTAGTTTTGCTATGACGACGGCTTGGTTTTCAAAATCTGTTTCTGCAGACCTGTTCACATCACTCAGTGTACGAGGTGGGCTGTGTTTATTAAAAGCAATGCGCAGTGTGACACGGTGATAGCTTTGGCATGTGTTACTTAGTGCTGTGTGTGCAGTTTGACATTGAGAAGCTTTCCGTCCGGCGTCCCAACCCTGCAGGCAGCTGTGCTGTTTCTTTAAGTAGAAGAACAGTTCTGTTGATTTTTTTCCATGTTTATTTGTCCTTAAGGTTAGGGCTCTGCACATGCCTGCAGTGCTTCAGCTCTGCAACAAACCGTTCATAACATTTCACTTAGAACTGTGAGTTTTGTGAGTGATCGTAATTGTGTATGTGCAGTTCAGTGCTCTTCGTGTGACAGGCTGGCAAATCGACTAGACAGAGGTTGTGGGTTTATGAAATGTATATGCCAAAACAAATCTTTAAATGTAATGTATAGAGCAAGAAGTGAAGTATCTGACAGAAAAGGTATGCGTTCCATGTTGGTGCAGAAGCTTCTTTTAGACCCATAAATAATATCTGAGAAATGTGAATGTTTATTTCTTGTTGCTGTAGTGGTCTTATGCTTGAAAGCTGATGAGGAACTCAGGGTTTTAGTTGCCTAATACTTTTCCATTAGAAAAGATGTTTAATAATTTTAAGTAAACTGAAACTTCCATTGTTTATAGTAGGCCTTTGAAAAGTGTCAAGTGCTCCAGAGCAATGTTTTGCCTTATGAAATTCTATTCAGGTTTGTCTGACAAACATATCCAGATATGTTTATGTTTCCGTAGCATTGGTTTCTTTATCATAAAATATTAAGTATGCCAAATTATAAACAAGAACTTGTTCCATGCTGCAGCTGTACATGTACATGTAGGAATCCTGTACATGGAAAGCCTGTCTGGGAGACTGAAAGGAGTGGATACAGGGCTGATTGCAATGCAGCATGTCTCTTCAGCAGGCCTTTTGTTTTAACTTGGTGTTTTCTTCCATCCTGAAGTGGCAACAGAAGAAAGAAAATGTGCTTAGATTTTCTGCAGTAGTGCTCTAGACCAAGGATTCCCAGTGTTAGCTTCATGATGGCATTGAGTAGAGGTCTCAGTACAGTTCATGTTTTTCATTAGATTGCCCAAAAAAGGCACATGGGCTGCAGCTCCTTAATTTTATCCTTAGCACTAAACCCAGTGTGATGGCCATGGACACATGTTTCTCTTCATGTGTGATAGCATTTTTCTGTTTTGTGTGCTTTTACAATTGATCCAGTAACTGAAGCAGCTGTGCTGGCAACCTCCTCCATGGTATTAGCAACAAATGACTCGGTATGAACTACCCAGAAGTTGCTTCATGCTCCAGTATTTTATGACTGAAGATGATGATGGCCTTTAAATGTGAAGTGAGTTGGTGGCCTAGCTATGCAAACTGTTAACTCAGTGCTGATAACACAAACATTCTCAGACTATCTCAGTGGAAATGATTGTTTTCTCTGCAGGGACTTTAAAAACCTGTGTGGTTGTGATGATTGTTTTTGTAATATTATTGCAGTGTTTGCTGTAGTTTTCAATAAACTATGAAGGGCAGTCATTACACTGGAAAGAAAGAAAATAAATAAAAGTTTTTCACTGGAGAATTTTGTTGCTTGTTATGTGGGATATAGAGGTTTACCAAACCCTCACTTCTTTGTTGGACTTTTCTTTTTGGTGGCCACAGTTTCCTTCCCTTACGCTCCTTTACATCCTTCCTGAGTGCTATTGCAAGAGAGATCTTTCCAGCCAGTGGCTGGGGAAAAACAAACATTGGGATTAGCCCTGTGTTTTCCCATTCCAGACCCTGTAAATAAAGGAAAGCACTGCATTTCTGAAGCCTTGCACGCGTGACAGTTTTCCTGTGTCTGTGAGAGCTGTAGAGACAGATAAATCCTGTGGATTAATTTGAGGGCTAGAGGGACGTGGGAAACCGAAGAGAGTGAGAAGGGGAGGTAGCAGCTATCAGGATGACTTTATTAGCAATAGTATGTTTTTAAATAGTAGCTGGGGGCTGTGCAGCCTGTCCTGTCTTGTATTAGTTGGTCAGGCTTTCCACTACAGTTGCGTAAGCCAGTGTATTTGTAGTTGTCTGTGTTGTTTGTAGTTATGCTGTACTGTTTTAGTTGGAGATCAGGCTCCTGGAAGAAACTTGATCTCCTGCCACTAAAATGTCCAAAAAATATATTTATCTTATGTTACAGCTTTTGAAAAGCTGTATTATATTTTTGACCTCTTGGTCGCTACCTGTGTGCATCTTGTAATTTAGTATTAAACCTCCTTCCTGTTAGTTCAAAACAGAATACGTTGTCAGGCATTGTTAAGACAGTGTTTAATTTCAGAGAGTTATGTTTCCTAAACCTCTGTGTGCCTGCACAAAACATCGAAACATTGTTAAGTGGAGTTTATGTGCTCTCCTCCTTTTCATTAGGACTGATATTTATTTGTGTTGCTAATGATGAGGACGTATTTTTGTTCCCCTTGCCTTTCTAAATCTAGCTGTAGCCAGTGTTTTGTGTGTGTAGTGGGCTGGGTTGTGCTTTCTTGGCTGACCAGGCAGTTTCTCTGATGGGCGATCCAGATCATGCTGGCTCCAGCTTCGCACTGTTCTGAAGACTTGTCACCTGTGCAGTCGTTCAAATAATTTAACTTTCTGTCCTGTCTTCCTGATGCTGATTTTTCTTATCCATCAGAGAAGTTGCTTGTTTCCTGTGTGAGGAAGGAAGATCAAACTACAGTGGCTTGCTTTTTCTTCCCAACTTGCAAAGCTTTATAGTCCTGTGTTGTCTCCAGCCTTCACAACCATTTCTTCCTTTTTATCAGTAGAGCTCTGCTGAGAAGGAATGGGGAAGTAAATATTATTGTGGTCTTCTCGCATCGTACCGCCTTCAACCCCTGTTTAAAGGGTTGGTTTGTTTGTTTAACTGATTGATAGTTCATGCCTGTTTATTTGGAAAGACAATTACTCATGAAGGACTGACAGAGTTGATGTTTTCCTCTGTGAAGCTATAATTTTGGACAAATTATTATTATATGCCGTTTCCAGGGAACAGGGAAGCAATAAAGAGTATGTGTGTAAGGGAAGGGAGATTTGTGTGCCTGTGTGTCTTATTTTGTTTTGAAACTGTTGTACTTTTAAATGAGTTGAACACTATAATTTGATATTGAAAGGTAATAGAAGGAAAGCTGTTCTTTTCTTGGCTGGTGTGTTAAGTTGCTGTACTGAAGTTCATTTTTTTGCAGGAGACAAATGTTTTGATGTACGTCTGTGTTTTACCAAAAATCAGCCTGGAAGCTTGTAAATAACCCAGTGTATTAATGTTCATTTTCTTTTAATCCTCTGTTTTGACATCTGAAAATAATTTCCAAACTTCTAATTTCCATTTAATAGGAATTTTTTTAAGAGAAAAGGGCCTTTTCAATTTTCCTGCAACTGTTAGATGATTTCTTCTGGCTTGCATCATGTGGCCTGCTTAAATAGCAGTTTCTGTTAATGGCAAGGGTGAAATTGTATTGTTTGTGTCATTCCACAGATTGAATATTTCAAAAAGAATCATTGTATGGATTGCAGTGTCAGTATTTTTAAATAATCCTTCACGTGGTTATGAATAGGATAAAGTCAGTCTATATGATGATAAAACTTGATTATACTTTCTGAAAACTGGATTAGACTTTCTCTAAATATACAAAAATCCTGAAATTCCTGTTTCGAAGTGGGTTTTTTTGCTTGGCAATTGTAATGTGGCCATCCAGTCTTAGCTACCAGGTCAAAAGGCTTGTCTTCGTTTGGGATTTTGTTCTTAATACTGGAGAATACGAATATTTTGCAAGCACACAACTGCATTGTTATGTGAGATTTATTTGTAACCCCAAGTTATTTTCCTTTGTCGTACAGGAGAAGATCCAGTTCTGCTAGTTGTATCTTGTAGCAGACCAAATAGTATAAATATTAACTACTTACGGCTTAGGCTGTGGAGGGAGGCAATACAGCCAACGAAAAAATGTTTTATTTGGAGGAGGTGGACAAATGCTGTTCCGAGAATAGGCTTTTAGTCAAAAATCTAACAGTAATATTTAGTTATGTTGTTAGCAGAGTTCTGAATGCAATGACCATCTACAAATTAAGGGGTTAGTATCTTCTTTTGGAAGAAAAAGACAGGAAAATCTTTAGGAATCAGGTCTTTTCTCCTAACTGCATTGTATTCTGCTGTTCCTCTTGACTGGCCACCCGACTGAGTCAGGAAACTCTGCCCTGCCTAGATGCGCCCGATCAGCTCACTAACCGAAGCTGAGCGCGATGCTGGGGGAGGCCCTGCTTGACCCTTGTTCCAGCCTGCTCTTGGCAATGCTTCTGGTGTGCAAGAAAACCCGAAAGAAGAGCTGTGACATCCGTCTGATAGTGCAGCCATTTAAAACCCCAGACTACATAAGATCTCCTCTGCTGGAAATGAATTCGAAGTGCATTGACTTCCTTGTCCTCGGCATTAGTGTGTTGGTAAGATGCCAGCTGTACCTGCTTTGGGAGGTGGCACACAGTGACACTGTCCAGGGGAAGGGGACTCTAGCCCAGTGATATCCTAAACTGCTCCTTTAGTCCTTGAGATGTTACAGCAGTAGGTGGGAACAGCTCTTTGTTCTTTGTTATATCAGATATAGCTCTCAGAAAATCTTTTCAGGGCTGCTGGCACATCCTTGATGATAATAAATTGACAGCGAGAGATTTGAGAAGGGTCAGGCTTCTTCCCTTATCATTTCTGCTGGTGAGATGCCACCATAACACTTCTTGCTCTAAATGGCCTCTATTTCTTAGCTGGGCCTGCAGACATCAGCCATGGTCAGCCTACGTTGAATGGGTGTGAAGAAGCATGATTGCCAACCCTCATAAGTTAGGCTTGCAAAAGCCGTAAATGTGGATGTGTGTACTCCAGCAAAACTTTTCTTTTTAGCAATGCTATTGTTTTCATTAAAGATTTTAGTTCAGTAAGACAAGGTAGAGTTTTCTGTCAGAGGTGTATTTTCCATATTATGAGTATCTTGCTGATTTCTTACATATGTGTTTCTAAAATGAGTGCAACCCTGATTTTTGTCTAAAAACTTGATGCAATATTGATGAGATCCTTTGTTGTGGCATCTAAAGATCAGCTTCCACTCTTCTCCCCTTCCCCTTTTAAAAGAGAGAGGAAATGCACGTGCCCTCTCATCTCACCATCTTATTCACCAGGGTGCAGATGAAAAGTTTCTAGTCTGGCTAGGAGACTATTGCTGTGATTGCTTGGGAGATCACGGGCTAACAGTGATACTTCCTGCTGCTGTGTGTCCATCTGCAAAAGCGCTGATGTTTATCTAAGGTTAGCCTTTGGGCAGCCGTTGAACTGCAGGAGTGCTTAAGGGTGAAGGCGGCCCCTGAAAGCATGTCGGGATTTTTGTATTATAATGGTATTTGGATATTTATATTCTGTCATTCCAAGTATTCTGTGTTACTACAGTCAAGTGCTAGAAGAAAACAAAACACGCTTTTCTTCCTGTTTCTTCCTTGAGTACTTGGTATATAGTTGCATTATGTTTTCTTCTAGTGTCCTTGCTCATTTTTCTGTCTGCTATGTAAACAATCCACACAACAGGGGAGATGAGAATAAAAGCTTCAAAGTTGGTGTTTGAAGAAAATCTGATTCCTGCCAGGAAAGACCTTGCTAAGCGTCTGCTTAAAATTAATTCTCTGTGAAAATAAGTGATTTCATGGTCTTGGATTTCTAACTGGTGCTAAGTGCCGCCCTATGAAGGTTCTGGTGTATGAAGAAGGCTCTCCTCCCCATTTTTGCAAAACAATTATCTCTGTATCTTGTCAGAGTGGGATTGAAGGGGGGCAGGACGGGACATCCTACAGCAAGAGGGAGAATATAGTTTGAGAGTTGCTTGGGATTTTTGTGTGCTTTGAAGATCTTGACTTTTCTTTGGTATTTCCTTACGTAAAGCAATTTTTAGTGCTGGACTGAGCTGATGCTCATTTGAAACTTCCAGTGCATCAAGCCTGTGGATGAGATGTGCTGTTGGACCTTGAAGCTGTTGCTGCAGCTCTCTGCTGCCCAGAGAGAAGCTAACCGAGCTCGATAGATTTTTCTTGATCTTAATGGAAGCTGTCTTCCTAGCTGGGAATAAATCTTCTCTGTTGGGACAAGTCCCTGACCTATTTTAGAGAGTCTTGTCTGTACAGAGTGGTTGCTGTTTTCCTAGAACAAGAAGTTATCTTCCAGGAGCTACTTCGTCATTTTTATTTCAATCAGTTATTTTAATTGTAAAATAACAGAATCTGAAGGAGAGGGGGCTGAAGCTCTGTATTTTGTGTTTGTGTGTGAGGAATGGCAGAGAAAAATTATCTGATGACAAAAAGAAAACTATTAAGTAATTTAAAAACTTCCAGCTGCTATAGTAACGGCAACACATTTGCCAGATGTCAACAAGCATATTTTAATCCTTCTATTTTAAGTTTCAAGCTATTGAAAAAAGTGTATCTAGGTGTGGCAGTCTTAATAGCTGCTTCAGCCCATAGCTACTTGGGTAGCCTAGGAAAGAACCATGTAGTATCGCTGTTGGAGGGACTGTTGACTAAATTTATAGAAAAAGCTTTTCCCAGATGTTCTTATGGGGCAGGAGTCCATCCTGAAGATTTGTGTTTCTCACCGAGACACTTTTATGATGTCCTGTTGGGTATACGGCACGTGCTCTTCTGTGTGTTAGATTGATTTGAGGTACCGTGACATTTTTCTTGGAAGGTGTATGAGCCAAAAAAGTAGAATGAAAAAGTTTTGGAGACTGGGCTTTCTGCCTAATACCAATTCCGTGTGGCTGTGCTGGTCTGTACGGCCTGGACACTTGTTGGGGAGCAGGAATAAGATGTCCACAGAACTGTCCTGTCCCCTGTTGACACTGACTGTAAATGAGTTTAAGCTGAAGTGATAGATGTAGGGTGGAAGAGACTGTTTTTCTGGTTACACATTTTAAACTGTCAGAGGAGGTGAAAAATGCATTGTACTCTTTCCTGTGGCCTTTTCCTCCAAAGAATCTGTCATGCAAGAAAGGGAGGGAAAATGTGCCCGGCGTGGATCAAGCCCTTAGCTTTTCCATGTTCGTTTGTTTTTATTGTAAGATAAACCTTTCATGTTTTATTGTTACGAAGTTAAAGCCTGGCCTAGAGGTGCTGATCTTTAGTAGAAACAGCTGTAGACTGAGTGTCCCCTGCTCAGGTGGGAGGCTCTTTGAAGCAACATGTTGCCTCTTTAAAAGGAAATTGAGCATGTGAGAACTTAAACCTGTAAAACTCATCAACAGCTCTGCCATTGTTTATCTCTGGTGTAACTTTATATAGAATTAAAGTGAAACATGTTACTTTGCTTCCAAGACAAGATGGTTTAGCTCCCCCTTGGTCCTGGAGACGCAGGAAATGACCACATAACCACAAATACTTTCTAGTGGAATGAAGATGAGTGACAAACTATCCGCAGAAATAGGTTCTTAACCAGACGGGCTAGGAAATTAAATGTAGCTAAAGCTTCTGGTTTTAAGTTAAAACCAGTGCTTAAATGTTAAAACCAAGTAGAAAAGAACAAATGCTGTATATGCACTGGCCGACATGAGGGGGCAGATCGGAGCATTTCTCGTTGGGATCAGCAGCAATTTTCAGCATAGACTGTAGTCCCTTCCTCAGTAAGAAAAGGAATGAAATAACCTGCCTTTGGGATGAGGGAAGCTAAGGTACTTTTTTGGCTTTGTTTCTCAAGTTGCGCTCTCGTAGAGAAAACAAAAAAACATTAGCTGTCAAATCTCCTTTACATCTCTGTAGCATTTTCAGTACTTAAAGCAAGGCCCTAGATACCTTCCCATCATCTTTTTAAACTAATCAGCCACTGTACTCCCCTTCCTGCTGGAACAGGGTGTCTAAAATTGACACTCTGCATTTTTATGAAAAAGAAGATTCCCTTCCCTAGAACCAGGCTTATCACTACTTCAGAAAAAAGCTTTCTTAGGAAAGACCATTCTGTCTTAACAAGTCAGTCGTGCTGGACCACATCTGCTTAACAGTGGTGTAGGGTATTAGTGTGGGGGAAGACCTAGGTTTTGTTTTAGGCTTAGGCTGAATTGCAGTTGGCAGAAATAATAAATTTTTCACCTTTAAGTGTATCCTGTAGCTTGCCCCATGGCCAACAGGAAGCAGCATTGATGGTATCTGTGTGGAGCCTGTACAAATGGGGGTGTAATGTGAGAGAGCATCTGAAGGAGGTAAAGAGATTACAAGATAATGATGATTGCTGGAAGTAAATGGAGAGAAACTGTATTAACGATAGCTGCTTCCTTAATGCAGACTTTTCTTAAGACAAGAAAGTAAGCAGTTTACCACCACGCTGGTAAGAAGAATGTGGGTTTTACTAGTAACGTGGAAAATGTGGTGACATTAGAAACTGCCTGGGCTGTGCATTGAGATGATGCAGAATTTGTCATCCTGTAAATCATTTCTCATTGATTAGCTAAACTGTTTGGATTGGCAGAGGGGATCTTTTTTTGGACAGGAAGCGTAGGACCAGTATCACTCACTGCATGACAGGCCTTCTGAACCGGACAGTTCAAACAACGCCTAGTGCTGTCTGAACGGAAAGTAATTACCTCCAGAAAGTCCTTTTCAGATCTACAGTACAACAGCCCAAAACAAAGAAAATAAAAAAGGCAGCATAACTACGTATTGTAGGAAAAGACTGGCAGAGGGAGTCGGGTCAGAGGGCCAAACAGTTGTCCGTTGGATGAATTCTTGAAGATAGTCATTATCCTTAATAGCATAAACATTCTGCGAGAGCCAACACCAGCTGTATTATAGCAAAGGTACAGAAGGAAGGCCCTACTTGGGGAGGGGGAGAGGAGGAATTAGCACGGATGAACTGCTGCTCTTAGCAATGCATGATGTCTCTTCCAGTCTGCATGGAAATGCCGGTCGGTGACACGGTATGAGTAGTTAGCTGTTTATACGAGATGCTCCAAGTAGTGTATCTCTTACTGTCTGAAATGCAGAAAAAGCCTGAAGCTCTGACCAGACATCTGAAGAACTGAGACTTTCTCTTAGCTGTGCAAATGATTAGAGTGAAAACCTGACCTTCTGCAAAATGCTCGGTTTCTAAAATGTCTGGGGGAGTTATGTCAGGACCACTTGGCAGGCAGGCAAAGTTCTTCCCTGCAGTTGCATGTTTTGTAAGCCTACTCTAAAGCTGTAATGACCTGGTAAAGTAGTTACCTCTGTCACAATTGAAAATCTAAGGTAAAATGAAAAGTTTTCAAAAACAACTCCATAAATACATGTGGTGAAGTCCTAACAGGAGAGTAAACATAAGAGAGTTTGCTCAGATCATCTCTTCAGTCATCTCTGTTCTAATATTCAAGGGGTTTTAATCAATTAAAAGTGTGGAGTGCTTAGTTAATTTACTAGGGAGTGCAATGAGTATTGTTTAAATAATCTGTGCCTCAATAGGAGCTACCATTAGTATACTTTTTGCAAGGAAAAAGGTTTAAAGAGCAGAAGGAAACTTAGGAAAAAAAAAAAGAAACGTACTCCTATACGCCAAGAGGGTATAGGATTCTTTGGCATTGTTCTGGACTCAACCCACCTAGTAATGTGTTCAACAGGAGCTTTAATAAGGATCGCATGCTTTTAGGAATATTTAAAAAAAGTATGTCTTTTAATTAATAAAACTCGTTATATTTAAGTTAGATTTCTTGTATCGAAAGGAGAGAATTGAAACCCGTAACAGGATGTGTTTGCTGCAAAATAAACCTGAAACTGTTAGGTATTTTGAGCATATGCATGACTGATTTTTTTTTTTCCCCTCCTTTTTTTAAACTAGTACTTCTGCGCCTTATCTAAAATTCTTGTCTTGAGTGGATATAATTAAAGGTAGAATTTACCCACTGAGCTTGAAGTTTTCACTGTTATATTTATTGAGTCATGAGAGGAGTTTTGCAGACTTGCCTGACTTCTTGCAGAAAATCATAAGCGCACCTTCCAAGGAAAGCAAAAATTATTTTTAAATATGCCAGCTGAGTTTTTTAATGGTGCTGGATTTTTTTTTTTTCAACTGCTGCAGTTATTTCTATATATAGTATAAGGATGTGAAAAGTCATTCATTCCTAAGGTGTTTAAATATGCTCCATAATGAGTGTTGTGGATGTGAAAGATAAGCAGCCTGGAGCTTTTTTTTGCAAGGTATAGGGTAACACAAAGCATCAAAGTTTTGCTGCCCTCAGGACACACATTGAAGTAGTTAAAGTAGTGAGATAAACGAAATACAATAAGATATTCATCTGCAAAATCTAAAGCTCAAGGACACAATAAGTTTTCATTTAAGTGTTTCTCATTTGCTGACAATGAGCCAAATAAATCTTAATTCCACATTGTAGATGGTGACATAAATTCAGTAACTTTCCCTGGGATGAAAGTCTGTTTTATTTCCCGAATCTTTCTGATGATGTACTTGTATATGTTGGGATTCTGATCTGAATTATCTGCTTACAGTTACTTAAGAACATAAGAATGATCCCCCCCCCCCGAATTGCTATTTAAGAACATTTATTTTTGTTTGGTGTGCTGAAATAACATGTAGTCTGATATTCCTGAGTAGGAACAAAAACTTACTATAAAGAACTAAATAATTTTCCATTACTTTGCTTTATCTTAGTCCTCACTCACTGCATTTCTTCTTACAGGTGCTGGATTTGGATTAGGAATTGTTTTCTCAGTCATCTTCTTCAAAAGTAAGTATATCACGGTAATCTCAACTGCCCAGTTTCCTAATTTCTGTCTCTTGTAGGTGCAGTTTAAATCCAAGAATCTTTGAGGCATGTAAAAATTATTCAGCATGTTATACTAATTCTTTCATTAATGGTCGTGTCTTTTCAGTTGAAGTGGAGCTATCTGAACTTTTAACTGTTGTGTAACAAGGTTTTTACACGCGGCATCTCTCTAAGCTCCTACTGTGCTTAGCTCAAATTTTGGAATTGCAGGGAACCCTGAGCCAAATTATTGGAGCTATGTGTCTAGACATCAGTTTATGCCAGGCTTGCCAAGGTTTTAAAACTGATCTAAATTCTTTTTTAGTTATGCTTTGGTAACAGAATAATACTCAGTAATATCTTGAATTCAGAAATTGCTCTCCATTAAATTCTAAATATAATGTCTTACCGTTACTCTTGTTGTTGTTCTGAAGTGGTCTGGTTTTTAGCCGATTTTAGGACTCATAGAACTTGAAAATTCCTAATAGGCATCTGCCAGTAATTTATTCTTTATTGGTGCTTATTTAACAGTGCTGTCGCTGTCATGTGAAATGAACGGCTTTTCTTGACTTTAACTTTTCCTCTCTGCTTGCCTTCCCCCGCAGGAAAGACATGGCCTATTGCTTTTGGGTCGGGGATGGGGTTAGGAATGGCTTATTCCAATTGTCAACATGACTTCCAGTCTCCATATCTTCTCCATGGTAAATTTGTAAAAGTAAGTACCAGTATTAGTAACTATTGATTGGTAACTGTTTATAAACTAGCATTAAATCGTACATCTAGACACCATTTAGACGGCTATTCCTCTGCCTTTCCCAAAAGAGCACTAGTAAGAAGAAACTTGTGTTGCTGAAGCAGGGGTGAGTCTGTCCCCTGCTCTTGAGAAGTTTTTAATGTCTGGTGTGTTTAGCAGTAAACTTACCAGACTGAATACACAAAATTAGTTTAACAGATCCTGCAGGTAGTCTTTCCCACAACCTGAAAACACATATAATAAAAATACATGCTAGAAAAGCTGAAAAACTAAACTAACGGTAAGATTCTGTCTTCAGACTTTGAAAGAGATGACCTAGGAAGAAACTGAAAGTCACATCAGGCGTGTCATGTAGATCTGCCTGTGGAAGCAGATCTTTGATCTTCTGTGGGGTTTTTTTTGTTAGTTTGTTGGGTTTTTTTTCAACATGAAAACACTAATCACTTGTAAGTTTTGTGGCTCCTTTGGCTGGACAGTAATGTAATAATTAGTCTCAAGAAATTGTACACTTTAAATAGTTTTGAAGAGGATAATTTAAATAAGTTCAGTATTTTCATTGACCATGCTGAGATAAAATATTTAAAAATAGATAAATTAGCAGGAATCATTTGTACACTCGCAAACTGCCTACAGTGCACTAAGTCCGCAAACTGACTCCATTAATATATTCTTTATTTCTTCACATGTAAAAGTTGGGGCTGTTCTTATGGCAATTTATCATTTTGGCGTCTGGAAAAAAAGAAGGTGCGTGTGTGCGTATTTTGGATCCACAAAGCCATATACTGCTAAAAGCATTTCACTGATACCAGTGGAGAGGCATCCACCAGGACATGTTTAAGTTATTTTAGCACCTCAAAAATTATGAGGTAAAATATTCTGCCAGGAGCTTTTCATGGCAAGTACGCAGAATGCAAAAATTGCCCCTGTATCATTTGTCTGCCTCATGAAGGAGGCCTGAAGGTGGTTTTAGGCTTTTTTTCTGATGCATCTAGAGCTGAAAGTTGAGTCCAGTCCTCCTTGGAGTTACTGGCAGATGAGCTTTCGCCAGCCTTCTGCAGCCCTACCAGACATACCTGTTTACAAATACTATCTTCAGCTGCCTGTAAAGAAAGAGAAACAATAACAAGATTCTTGAGCAATTTCTTCAGAATAAAAAATTTTGGATAGCAAGATAGAGAAACTGTCACTTAGATGCAGCTGGTCCAACATTGCCAGAATTACAGCCCAGAATCAAAAGTCTGTGCATGACTCTTCTGTCCAGATTTGTTCACATCAAAACGTGTTAGCTTTGCACGCCATCCTGAGGGTATTCCTCCAAGTTATGTCTCCAAAAAGAAACTGGAATGACATGTCTGTGGCTTCAGGTGAATGGCAAATTCTCTGTTCACATGGGCTAAGAGCCCATTATTCATCCAAGGATGCTTGTTACTAGGGATGTTGGGTAACAGAAAACTGACTTTCAGGTCAGCCTAGTAAGGGATTTTGTTTGGATTAAGCACTAATCTGTGCTCTGGAGCAAGGGTGGTCCTTCGAAGCATGAGGTAATTGAAAGGACACTTCACAGAAGAAGCGCAGCTGCCTGCATGGCACAAGACTAGACAAATAGTTTCCAGTGCACTGTCTCCACTAGCTCTCTCTGGCACAAAGAGGCTGAACATGCTGAGAGAGGGAAGACGCAGATGAAGCCATCTAATGGTTAATGTCATTAATTCTCTCCAAAATGTCGTGTCATGGATAATGGCTCCAGGGTTATTACAACAAAATTATTTCATTTCTGTTGGTTAGGAGCATGGAAAATATTGTTGCATTATCACTCATCTGTTTTTTTCCTAGAAAATACTGTTGTAACTAAACTCTATAGGACTTCCTTTACAAAACTGAGTTTCTGTTCACATGCTAGCTTGTAAAAATTTGAGATTCTGTGAGAAAATCAGCTTTATTAAGAGAGAGAGAAATGCAACACAGATTAGCTTGAACAAAATTATTTCTAGTTTTTCAAATACGTCAAGTTCATAGGATCACAGGATGACTCAAGTTGGAAAGGAGATCAAGGAGGTCATCTAGTCTGATCTCAAACCAGTGTCAGCTATGAGGTCAGACCAGGTTACTGGGGGCTTTATGCAGTCTGGATTCTTGATTCTTCAGGATCAAGTTCTTAATTCTGAATCCTAAGTGAGAATGAGTGAGGACAGAGAACCCTGGCGGTACCAAATAATCAGGAGATTGCAGAGCAATTTTGCAGCTGTTCTAGCTGTAACTTGGATCATCACACTGCCCATCCTTTGGGTTAGTATGTCGATCGTGAATCGCTAACACCAACTCAAGAGCCGTTCATCTAGAGGCTACTTAAAATGCGGAGAAGTTCTAATTTGTGGTCATAAGATTCTGAGGGCTTTTTAAGTAATTTGATCAAGTGGATGCGACTGTGATTTCAGCTGAATTTAAAATCGACATCTAGCAATTATTTCAAGGCTTAAAATGGTATGGCTGAGAATTACATGGCCTAAGGTTTCCTTGCAAAATGGAAAGTATCATATTTTTCAGGTTATTTAGCCTGTATTATTTATCACCCAAAAAACCACAACCCTGTACTTTGATTGCAATGTGGATTATATTGATGTGCAACAATACAAGAAGTTTGGCAATGAGCCTTTCCTCCTGCCCTTTGTGGCTTTGATTTCTATCTGATTTCTATTCAATCTGTGCGTAGTTAACTTGAACAATAATGTTGGGTTTTTTTGAAGTACCCATTTTATCAGAGCGGAGGCTTATATGCATGAAAACACGGCATACTTCTGGTATGAAAATAGCTGCTTAACTTCTCCATGCTCAACTCCTCAGTGTAGTGAAGGATGGAAATGTTAGCCTACCTTCTGGAAATGTTACAAAGCTAAGTGGCTTGCTTTACATCGTACAGCACCTTCCATGTAAGGAACCCAAATGGCTTTTTAATAATATGAGCCTTCTTGCTTTACAGGAACAGTGACTAATGACTAAGACTATCCCAGTGGGAAGGAAGGAGAAATCAATGATTATTCCTCAGGAATACTGAAGTGCCCCTGGAATAAGCCAACATTCTTCAGTAACGATCACCAGTAACTCTTTATACTCCAACAAACTGTTTCCGTACATGAAACAAGGTTCTGTTGCTTGTTTTGTATCGTGTCTGGAAAGTGCAAGGAAGAGCTCTTCTGGGAAATAAATAAAAGAAAAATGGCCTTCTCTGGTGTGTTGACTTTGTATGTGGGTGAGAGAGAGGGAATGGAAGGAGAGGACTTCATTTTGAGTACCTAGCAGCTGTGACCACCTGGGTAAAAGCCACTGTGAGAGCTCTTCAGAAAAGACAGCCGTCGTATGTTCCTCTCCACTCTTGAAAGGCAACCCCCATCTAACATGGAGTTCAAAGAAGCATTCCCACCTCATAAATCACCCACTAGACCCCTGTTGCTTGTCCCGGTGTTTGGAGAGGAATATAAATACTCCTATGTCCTGTTTGTACAGTTGCCCTTTAAAATTGGAATTTTGTCCTCTCCAAAGCAGCAGAATCCAAAAGGGCAAATCCTAACTGTGTGACTGATGCAGTAAGGCAGTGCTGTTTCTTGTAGCTTTGAGCCACAGAGTGACCCAAGTTTGAAACTTCCTCGGTACAGTGGGCGAATTAAACAGATGCACATGCCATCTGGCTTTGAGCTTACCTTTTAGGTTGATTGTTTTTTCACCCCTCTTCTGTGGGAGAACATATAGGTTTCAGTGTCTGGGAATGGGTCACAAATATTTAAAGCTCTTTATTACCTTGGCAAGTCACTGGTCCAAGTACTCCCTTCTACTTTACGTTTACCCCAGTCCTTGTAATTACTTTGTTGGCATGTTGTCTGCTGCACTTCTCCTGACTCAAGAGGTCATCTTCACCGCTTCTTTGCTCAGCCTCAATTTTCTAGCTATTGAGATGGCTCTCAAGGACCTCTTTTCTTTCTCCCATGCTTGGTGCATGTTGTCCATGTAACACCAGATGTATATGCATATCTCCCGAAACAAAGGGAATGGTATGGATTGACACAGAGCTTTCCTTTATTGAAAGCCTGTTCTGCTGCTCAGTGAGCACTGGCAGATGGAAGAGTTACAACAAAATTCCTCTCCAGAAAGGAAAACACAATGGAAAACAAGTTGCACAATATTTGTTTTTTAAACCATGCCAAAAAAGGAAGGGGATGGACTGAGGGGCAGTCTTCTGAGTTCAGAGAGCTTGAGAAACTCTTTATCTTAATGCGCAATGGGACTGAGATTTGGTCTGGGTGCTGCAGCAGTCCTGCACCCCCCATCCCCCTGGGCACTTGCGTGTGGATCTTGCACACTGAAAAAACATGTTGAGCTGTGCCCAGAGTCAACAGACGCTGAAGAGCTCCCCTAGAGCAATGGACTTGTGAAATAAAATAGCTTTAATGCCAGAGCAGCATTAAAGACTGTCAAAGCATGATACCATCCAGGACCATTGCTTGAGCATGTCCTTGTTTTTCCACCTTCTCCCTTGCCGGACTGCATTCATCAGTCGGGTCAAAACAGCTTATTGGAAACAGGATCTCTTTCTTTCTTCCCAATTTTGAATCATTTTATCTGGCCCCAATTTTTAATTTGAACTATGTACTTTGGAGCCATAGCTCCTCTGTGGTTTGGAAAGTGTTTTTATTGAGTTTGTATGTGTGCTGCGATGCTGGCAGTCTGGCAAGCCAGTGGGTTCAGCTGGAGAGAAGAACATCAACCTGGGTAAGAAACAGGAGAACCAAAACCAACAGAACACTCTGAATATAACAAATGGCAACGTGCAGAAAAAGCTTTAGCTAGTGCTGTCTCATTTGGGCCATGATGATGGGTTCCCTTTTTATTTAGTGTCCCTGATAATGAGTTGTCCTCCCCTGCTATGCTCTGCTTTAGTTCAAATACAACTTCCCAGAGTTAATTCTCACTTAATGTGATCTACTGTGACCCATGATCAAGTGGTTCTTCTGGCCCTGGAACTCAGAGGGTACTCTTGTAGATACCCATTCACAATGTGTCGTTTATTGCTAGCATGAGAATAATCAGAACAAATGTTCAATACAAAATTCACTAGGGTGAGTGTGGAAAAATTGCACAATTTTACTCTAAAAAGTGGAATTTAAATTTTGTCACTCCTCTTTAAATGGGGTAAGAATGTTTTTGTTTTTCACAGCTGCCTTGTTGCTTCTTGTTTGTATTGATATATATATATATGCATATATGTAGCACATAATTGCCCTGTATTTGTTTTGGTTTAATTAAAGTTGTATTATTCAAAACCTATTTTTGAACCTGTCCATGTAAGCTGTGCAAAATACCTCTTCGCGAGGACAAGTCTCCTGTTTCCCTCCTTGGGAATGAGACCATACTGTTCCCAACCAAGGTTGGAATAGGAATGGTTTCCTGCTGCTTGATTTCTAATTACATAAATGGAAGGGGGAAAAGTGGAAATTCTAAGTACCAAAAGGCATGTTAAATTTAGTATAATACACTCATCTGGAAACTATCACATTTTTCCTTCTTTCTTAAGCCTGCTGAAATCATTGCTTCGTCTAGCTGTAGCGTGATTTGGATCAGTACCAAAAAGTGCAAACAAGATAGGCCTAAAAAAGTCAGGTGTCCCTACCCAAAACTTCATGAGACCTTTTAGTGGAGAAGTTACTGTATCAATTTTAATAGGAAAATGGTGAGTATACAGTGAGTAAAGAAACCATACTGCTACCTAGGAGAAGGAAAAAGGAAAAAAAAAAAAAAAGCTGTTTGCTGACTAGAACTGGTTTTGAACATTTAACAGCTCCCTAAGTGCTTGAGTGGCCACAAATCTGACTCTTAACAGCTTGATTAGATGTCTGCTGAGGCTTTGAGATGAATAAACAAGTCATGGAAAAGCAGAGACTGCAGGAAAAAAAATATCAAGCTGCTTTTCTATTGTTTATCTGAGTTCATGTTTGATCAAGATACCGTCATTTCTTTGTATTTCAATCATGCCTAGGAGCCTTAGCCAAGATCAGGACCTTGCTGTATGTGGTGCTGTACACACAAATAAAAACCAGTCTCTGCCCTGGAGAATTTACAAACTAAACAGATGGGATTAAGGGAGGTAGAAAGGTTTATAATTCCCATTTTAAAGATGGGAGAAGCTGTAGCCAATGTCAGTGATAAGTCTTAGAGGGAATGTGGCATGCAGCTGGGACTCTGAGCCATTGATTCGATCAGCCGGTCCTTTCTGACTGTTTTTTTACTTGGCAGGTCATGGAGTCTCAGGGGAAGGCTGCCTACTTCATAGTCTGGGAGACTGCAGAAGGGTACGTTCTGCAACCACTTGCTATCCTCAAATTGCTCCTAATTCTTAATGGCATATATCTGCTAAGTTAGAAATCCTGGTTTATTGTCCAGCAGGTGATTGCCGGTAGAATCACTAATGGGTGTAAACCACTGAGATCCTCAATATTGGCTGTGGTGTAAATCTGAATCTGATAAGGAGAGAAAATATTGAAATGTATTACTAGTTTTTGGCATCTCGTGGAACAGGACGCTGCTGTGTTAGGTGTAACATAAGCATAATACCAGAAGATGGTCCCTACCTTAGTAGTTCTACCTTAAATATGAACTTAGGTAACAGATCGAGATGGAGGATATCAAGGAGCCAATATCGTTCCAGTAGTGGAAACACAGCAGAGTAACTCAGCTCTTCCAGAGGCTTCACACAGATGATTCTCCAAAGGAGAAGGAATTGGTTTTCCAGATATTTTTATTGTGTTCTCTCCGAGTTTTTGGAGCAACGCAAAAGAAATCACAGAGGTGCTTGTTTGCAAACGCAAGCAGTGGGTGCCTGAGTGGACTAAAGGAGACTGTGGTTGTTGTGGTAGTGATCTACCACAAGGTATAGCTCTTGGGCTTCAGCTAGAAGGGAAAGGCTAGTGGCAGAGCTGGGGAACATACAATCACTGACCTGCTAGGAAAACCACTTTTTTCAGCAGTGTTCTGAATCAGTGAGGCATTGCTGACCCTTCCTTTCACTCTGAGCTGGCTGGAGTTTGTTGCTTTTCCTCCCATACCACACACATCCCAACAGTAAGAAAGAAAGAAACTTTTTCCTTGTCTCCCACCCCACCCGTGCCTTTGTAAATGGGACGGGTGCAAATTTTGGCACGCCAGCTCCAGTAGGCAGCTGTATGCAATGCGTACTGTCTCTTCACTGCTCTGAGAGTCCAGCCTATAGCCCACCCACAGTGAAATGCTTAGCTGAGATTGAAACTAAATGGGAACATAGTTTATGGAAATTCAGCTGTGGATCGCTGTTTCTCTTGTGACTTCTGGCTGTCAGCACTTAGCTGTATAGCATTGCTGGCTATTTAGAGCTGGATGTTGTGGTGGTGGATACCCACCTCCTGTAGCTTATAAAGGTGCTGAGAAAGTTGTTGGTGACTAATAAATCACTCTTCATCTATAGTCTTTATTGGTAGTGCTTGTGAAGACTCCAGCTCTGGGTTAGGAGTGTACGCCCCCATGACATAAGGTCATGTCCTTATCAGTTCCAATTCAGTTCATAAATCTCCTGTTTTATGAAGGAGTGTTTCTTTTTAGAAGTTTTAGAGGGTATTCTTCCTCCACTTGAAGTTGTTAGCAGTGACTAACAGTTTAGCCCAAAACCATTACTAATCCCATGAGCCATGCATTCCTTGAGAATTTAGGAGTCCAGTTGTGATAAGACAGCACCTCAGTTTTCTGCCCTGTAAAAAGGAAACGGTGATACTCTCTCCACTTGGTCATGACTTTAAGACCTACTTTGTTCCCAGGTAAAATTCAGCTCTGTACAGTCAGTATTCTGGGACCCCACAGTTCACCGCCCATCTGCACTGGATTGAATCCCACTTCTCAAGTCACAAAATACTTTGGCTTCTGCTCTTTGAAGATGCTGGAAGAACAAGGTAGAGGTGTGCTGTGGAAGGTGAGTGTTTCAGACAAGGTAGAGGTGTGCTGCGGAAAGAGAACGTTTCTACACTTTCTTAGCCACCCTTTCATTTCTTCCAGTTACCTGGTTCTCTGTCACCATACTCCTGCGCCTCCTATCCAGGACAAGGTGCAATAAGGGAGAAAGGGCTGTAGTTCTCAATGGAGTAAGGGGAAAAAAGGCATAGGCTGAAGGTAACTGCCGTGGGTTGTGCAGTCTCTCTCTTTAGCAGCCTCT